TTATTCCCTCTGGAATTTAATCTTGCAGCTGAAGTAATATTGTTCACCAGTTGTTCTCTTTTACTGAACTGAAGCAATTAAGATGAGCTTACCACATTTTCGGGACATTGCCATTTGAGACCTAATTCAAGAACAATATTAAGGAGGCCAGTGTTAAGTGCAGTCAGACTCTCTGAGCGCACCAGTAATCATTATGAATTCTTCTTAATGTCTTTCCTTCACTTCAGTTTTTTTTCTTTGAAGTTCAAGTAAAAGTTTAGAAAAGATTAAAGAAATTTATTGGAGCGATTTTCTTTTTTTTGGCCATTTCTCGACAGTCATGCATTAGAAGACAACATAATACGACTGCTGCACTGAAATACAAGATCATAAACTGTGTTATGGTGCAGCTAACAAAATGAATTAATTGAAAATGTATTGTTTTACAAATATAATTACCACAAGATGAATTGGTGTGAGTGTATATTATATTATGAGATATTATAGGTATATTTACAATGCTGTCTTGAAAAGGTTAACTTTATTTTTCCCTGAGAAAGAGGATCTAGTATCCTTTGTCCCTAAATTTCTGCCTAAGGTTGTATTTCTATAAAAGCTCAATTTCATAGTGGTCTGGGGGTAACCACATGACTGCTCTCAAGGAGATGAATAGCTGTGATCATCTTTTAATTTTGTGTCATGGACAGCTTACAGTACTTGCTTTAAAATTGAGCCAGAGTCTGAGTGTATTGCTATGATTATTTATATCGTTTTGGTGAGTGGAACATGGCCATTGCTTTCAGATCATTCCCCAAAGTGTCTTCTTTCTGTGATAAAACAAAATAACTTTCTGGTCCTGAGTGGTGGTCGAAGTAAAATATTAATGGGTTCGATTCAGCAGGAAGTCTGTGGAGCAGCAGGAGCAGGAGGAAGAAAGATCGTACAACAGATAAACACCAAGCCTCTGTGGACATTCCTGCTCTTTTCACATAAACTCTTCTAATGTGTAAAACAGAAGAGACGTCATGTACACATGGTGCTTGTGTTTGAGAAGCTTCTAGTATAGCACTGTTTGGTAATGTAAAAAGTAAAATTAGAAATAAACTGACTCTAAACTAATCTTTCAATTTTAGAGGTTTCAGTGCCACAAATTTTGGTCACTGTTTTAGCCTAAATATACTGTAAAATGTTACTATTGCAACATATTGTTTTTAACACAACAAAGATTTTTGTCACTCAGCCTGAGTCTTTGATAAATGTGTTTACTTATTTTGATATTATGTTTAAACCAAACAAACAATTCAACGAGTAGGTTTCTTTCTCCAATGCGAATCTAATAAAATATTCTTATGTTGTCTTGTATGTTTTGGTATGAATGTCCTGTTATACGGACCATTCTTGGGCATTTTACATGTAAGCATTAGTGACGGTTTGTAACAGTGGAGCTGAATGTGACAGCTTGAATTATTACAAGAACTGGCTCTGTTTGGAGACTTTTATGGAAATAATTCAGGAACTTTTACATTTTTCATCTGTTCCGTCTTCGTCTGTAGATGCTCACATACTTCAACATGAAAAATTTACACACAGCTGTAAACTCAGGATGAAGCCTGGCCTAGAAAATACACAGTATGATATCAACAATCATTTATACAGCATCACCCGAAATACCTTCACAGGACGACCTATTGAGTACTATAATTTTAAAGCGGTTTTAATGTTTAAGCCAGAGGTGACAATTTTTAGGAAAGGGTGTAGACTTGGGGAGATGTTTGGTGATTGAGTTGCTTTTGTGGTTTGTTCCTTAAATACAGTCCACTAAAAGACAAACAACAGGACTCTTAAAATATTTTAATCATTTTATTTTCCAACCTAAACCCAACAAAGCATTTCAAAAACATACTTTCAAATTATGTTGTGCAGTCTTTCCAACATTGTATAAACTTTGGAGCTGAGACCACCTTTGTACATATTTATACAACCAGTGACAAATAATGAATATGAAAATAACAGAACTACCCATATATATTGTTATATCACATGGACGGTGAACTGGGTCAATATATTTTTATTTAACTTACATTACAGTTTCAATCAAATTTCCAAAAAATGTAGTTGTGACAAACTAATTAGCCAAAATAGTTCCCTTAGCACCGTTAGTTTAATGAAGCAGACAAACGAAGCACATTGAGTGACATTAATGTAATTAAATCCATGTAACTAAAAATAGTTTTCATTTTTAAATGCATCAAATCATAAAAAAATAATTTCCTTAATGCTAGAAGCTGTTGTCGCTTTATATTGAAACTGATTCTCTCTAAACGCATCCTCACAGTAAAGAGTATAAAATAACTGTAACACATAATAAAACCCCCATACAACAGAGTACATACACCAGCCAGTAGTTACAAATGCTCAAGCTCAACCAACACCTAATTAATAAAATATGTAATTTGCAACAAAAAAAAAAATTAAAAAAAATTTCTGGACCACTGCAATATTCTGTAAACCTTGGTCGAATAAATAAAGGCAAGAACTGAGTGGAACCTGAAATGATTGCAAATGTGCTTTAGCCATGATGTAGCTGCAGTATAATATATTACAGGAATAGATACAAATTAAAGATAGTAATGTGTACATCTGACAAAGGAAGAAAAACAAACAAAAAAACCCCCCCAAAAAAAACCAAACAAAAAATAAACCCAACTTCTGTCTCTGGTTTGATGTTACGTCAGACACAAGAAGTTCAACAGTACAATAAATTCACATTGTTCAGTTAGGTCATAACAAGTGCATATATAAACGTCAATAGTAAAACCACAATGACGATAAGCTGTAATATATTGTAAAGCAATATCTGCTTCTCTACAATGTTAATTCATTTAGACCAATCTGTTTTTTTAACCTTTATTTTACTTTAAGTATGTGAAACACTTTAGGTTTTGAGCTTTATGTTGCAAGAGAGTGTCCCAGTGTAGAAACTAGAGGTCCTGCGGAAAACCCAGGACCCTCTTGTTGTGAGGCAATAGTGCAAACCACTGAACCGTCGTGCTAACTTGAGAAATAACCAATGGTGTTGCATTATGTTCGGTGACATCACTTTGACAAGTAGTAGGGGGGGGTAGTCACCGAAGGTATGAGTTTGAATCCAATGTGCACTATGTAACCGGAAGGTCGCCGGTTCGATCCCCGGGCTCTCTGTCCTGGTCGTTGTGTCCTTGGGCAAGACACTTTACCCTACCGCCTACTGGTGTTGGCCAGAGGGGCCGATGGCGCGATATGGCAGCCTTGCTTCTGTCAGTCTGCCCCAGGGCAGCTGTGGCTACAACTGTAGCTTGCCTCCACCAGTGTGTGAATGAATAGTGGCATTGTAAAGCACTTTGGGTGCCTTGAAAAGCGCTATATAAATCCAATCCATTATTATTATTATGTGGTTAGCATATTAGCAATATATGGGGGGGGGAGTGTGGTTACCAGTCAGCTTTCCATAGCTTGTGAAGTTTGAGGTTCTGGGAACTCATGGTAGTGTTGTGCAGACATTTTGCGACTATACTTCCAAGCATTTCACCATGTTCAGGAAGAACTCTGTGACTGATTTACTGCTGGTAATTAGTGGTAAATAAACGTCGCTATACCTCACGTTGTATACTTCTACACCCACACTCATTACCGAGTGAGTTACACTTATAGCTCTGCTGTAATGATGCTCTTTCTAAATAACAAGGCCACACTACTACTCCTGTTACATCTTTCCACACAACAATAGTCAGTGGGAAATATGTCTGTATTGTTCCCTTTGAACCTGTTGTTAGGCATCATGTGGTTTTTTGTTGTTGGCAGTGGCACAAATTTTTTACTTCATACAATTTACTGCTTTAATTTTGGCAGTTCACAGTGATCGTATACTGTTTCGCAGAGTGATCAGAAGCATACTCGTGAACTCAGAAACTGATATTCAGCATGCCAGAGGGAGCTGTTACGACGAAGGGTCAACACTGCAAACAGGCACTGTTTACATAAATCTGATTTATTTGCCAATAAAAGTCTTTGAAAATTATGAAACGCCCCAAATTGTTCTTCATTAGATCACAGAAACATGTAAAAAAAAAGCTAAATAAAAAAAGTCAAGCGGCAAATTACAGGAAACAAAATTTGTGCCACGTCCGCAGCTTTGGCCACGGCAGATCTAAAGTGCTGCTTTTATAACTTCACTATTCTGTGAAAAGGCAGCTTGAAAACATGCAATCATGACTAACATGTCAATCACAAATCGTCATTTCCACTGCATAATTGTTTGACTAAAGACAGTTGTACTGTGCTGATTGTCAACCACTACACAAATAAGGAGTAGGATACATACTACATGCAAGTCTATTAACAGCAGTATTCAAACTGTCATGCAGTGGCAATATTCTAAAAGACAAGGTTGCTGCTTATAGGCACCCTGAGATAGTCGGTTATGGCATTGCCACTTTACTAAGATTCATATTTTTTTTCTGTTCCCACTGACAAAATTATATTTCATAATAAAGGTTTTTTTTGCTTTAATAAAATATCTGTAATACATCTGAGCATCATAGGTAACACTTGTCGTGGACACATCAGGAGATACAAATAAGGCAAACTGACCAGCTGTTTTTAAGCAACAAACAAAAAAAGTCATTTTAGACCATTTTTATGCATACCAGCACTTCAATACCAATTCAGCATTGATTATTTAGAAAGGTCAAGCAATGGTTTAATCAACAGAAGAAACAGGGGCAGAAAAGTATCAGAATTAAGGCAATGCCACAAACTGTGATTGTGTGTTGCACTGGAAAAGACTCATTTCACATAAAAGAAAGAAACAAAAGTGGTTGTTTTGTATTTTGTCTTTATCCCTGAGACCATGTTAGGCACATTGCAGTTAAAAGCTCATATCTAAACGAGTATTTTCCACCATTAGTACACCGTATTTCAACAAAGTTGTTAAAAGTAAGTAAAACAGTGGACGCTGAAAAAAAGAAAAAGAAAAAAAAAAAGCACAATTGAACATCAGATCTCTTCGCTACTTGCAGTTTTCTGTCAGTCCCATTCTGGCATACATTTGAACCATTTGTCCAAGCGACCTTTCTGACGTCGTGCATCTTCGGTGGGTTCAGCATACTGATTACTTATGTCTTCAACACGAGTGATATATATCCGGGTGACTAGCACACCGAAGAACTAGACAGAGGGAATGAGAGAGAGAGAATCTTAATAAGCATGGTGGAAGAAAGGTGACTGTGGCTGCTTCTCATTAGTCTCATTTGTGTCTTTACCTTGTATCTAAGCCTCCCTAATGTAAGATATGAGAAAGAGATTAAAAGAAGAGATGTGAGGCGGAAGGAACAAAGGAAATGTGTGTTTAGATAAACTGGACATCCTTTGAAAGATCACATGAAGCAACATCAGGCTGCTTTGTATGCTTCTGAGTTTGTCTTTGCAGAGATACAGAGATACAGTCTGCAATAAGGGCACGCGACTACTACTGCCACATCTGTCCACACAACGAAATTGAGTGCGAAATCTCTCTGCTTCTGTTTCCCAAACGAGAACTAGCAAACTAGACACCTGGTACCTCCTCCCAGCTTTGTTTTTTGTTTTTCAGGCCTGAAAGAAATCAGCTAATTATTAAATACAGGTCTGTTTAAGTTTGTGCCTAATGCAGTTTTGAGGAATAGCTGACAAGTATCTGCACAGCCTTCACCAAAAAAATCTTTTCTACTTACTCTGCAAACGCATCCCAGAAATTAAGCTCACATCTCAGATAACAAAAGCACACATATCAGCAATACTTTAATCTATTTATTTATATTTAGAGCTGGTATTCGTTCCATTTGCTTTTTCATGATTGTGAAATTTGTCAGAATAATCTCAGTGAATCATAGAAATGAGAGGAACAAAGGTACTTTTAATCACATACACATTTTTGGATTGTTCACAGCCAAAAAATACACTTTGTGTATTTTTTTTTCCGTTTTAATATGTCTTGAATAAAACTTGCTTAATATTTATTTTATTATTTTTTATTAATTAGACCTACACTAACCACACGTCCAGAAATACACACAATTGGAATCTAAACTGGAAGCTGAGATGAAAATGACTTGTCCTGCTATATAGAGATTTCTGTTGAGTTAGATGAAATTTTCCACTTGGAACTAAACATTCGTAAGTAACCTCAAATATCTGACAGAGTGGGACACCAGATTAAATGTTGGGCATCACCTGAGAAATCAGGATGTGTGACAAAGAGCAAAAGAGAAGCACCTGTGTAATGAACCAGACGACTGACACCTTCTGCACAGCTCAGTGAAGTTCAACATGCTTATTAAAGTCCAGCACAGCCTACATTCATATATTCATAGCTGCCAGAGTGTGTGGATTATTAAATGTATGATTGAAAATGGGATTTATGAGGGTAGAAATGGCAAAGTAATGAAAAACAGCATCTGTGCCGTTACATCCACACTACCAAATGAATGAGTATAAGGTGTGCAGAGTGAATGAATAGTGTGCATTTGTTCTTTTAATGCTGGAAAAGAACAAAAGTCTGATTTAAAAAGAAAATCTTTGGTCCATTTTAAGTTCAGACAGAATATTTTAAAATAAAAGTTAATTTTTGTGTTTTTATTATGGCCTGTTTGGTCCCGGCAAATCTAAATAAATTGGACCAGCAAGTAACTGCACAGCTGATTTTATCTCTCCTAAGGCTGTGGAGCTGTCAGATGTGCCTAAGGGGTGAAGCAATTTCCATTTTATTCCATTTGCTAATCTGGGTTTTGGATGATTTATTCGGGGCGACCATGGCTCAGGGGGTTGGGAATCGCATCTGTAACCGGAAGGTCGCCGGTTCGATCCCTGGGCTCTCTGTCCTGGTTGTTGTGTCCTTGGGCAAGACACTTTACCCTACTTGCCTACTGGTGTTGGCCAGAGGGGCCGATGGCGCGATATGGCAGGCTTGCTTCTGTCAGTCTGCCACAGGGCAGCTGTGGCTACAACTGTAGCTGCCCCCACCAGAGTGTGAATGAATAGTGGTATTGTAAAGCGCTATATAAATCCAATCCATTATTATTCCACTGAGCTCTAAAAGGTACACTCTATAAGTCTCTGCAAGCTGTTTTGGTAAATACAGAAGCAAATACAAGTTTGCCTTCTCAAAATCTGAAGTACAAATGACACATCACTGCAGCCACACCTATCACAAAAAGGTCAACTGAAAAACTGTACAACCTTGCATGAAATCTCTCTGTTTGGCCACCTCTAACATTATCTCCCTAACCTGTGGGGTTCCACAAGGTTCAGTCCTGGGTCCAGTATTATTTTCTTTCTACATGCTTCAGCTGGCATCATTTAGTATTTTAATGACATTTCTTATCATTTCTATGGTGATGACATTCAACCATATATGTCTTTTAAGCTTCACCAGCTGGACCCACTGTTTAACTGGGTTTAGCTCTCTAGCAGTTGCCTTGTATTAAATGCCAACTTTACTGAAGCAATAATTATAGCACCTGAACTATATCCTAAAATCAGTCCGGCTCTTGCTTCTTTTGTTTCAAATGTAAAGTTCAGTGTTTGAAATTTTGGTACAATATTAGATTCTTCTCTGGTCTGCGCAGCTGAACCAAAAAAAAAAAAAAAAAAAAAACCTCCCAAAAAAACCAAAAAAAAAAAAAAAACCCCCACCCCAAAACAATTCCTGCATTTGTGCTTAGATTATTGTAATGCCCTGTTTACCGGTTTTGACAGATAATCTCTCCAAGCTGTACAAAATACTGCGTCCAGACTATTAACGTGTTGATATTTAACAACATGTTCTAGAAATCAAGCTCACAACACTCCCATCTTATACTCAATAAATTAGCTCCCAAGAGATTTTAGCATTTGTTTAAAATTCTTGTATTTACACACAGAGTGCTAAGTGGCCATGCTCCAGATTATTTATCTCATCTTGTTACAAAAGACACTGCTGCTGACTATCTCCATTTACAAGCTCAGAATTTTTTAGTTGTTCCTCGTACATGAATAAAGGCCGGGGAGACAGTCTTTTTAGTCTACATTTATTTGTTTTGTCTAAACAGGCTTTCTGTTGAGACTTTTATTACATTATTTATCTATTTGCCCATCTGTACATCTGTCTATACTTTTGTATTGAGTTTAAACATTTAATTGTTAAAAGGTAAAGTAAAATTAAATGGTAATTATTCCATAAACATCCGTGGTGGGAATAAATATCCATAATGAAAATAAAACTCATTTAGCTACAAAGTGACATAAACAACTCCTCATACTGTATATAGTACTACACATTAAAATATAACTTAGTCATCCTTGTCTCAGGTAAATCATACTAAACCAGCCTGTTTTTTGCAGCTAATGTTTTATGTTAAATTGTGCTTCTAAAAGGCTTTTTCAGCGCATCTTTTTAAATCCATTTTCTGTCCCATGGGCAACAATTGAAAGATGTATGCCTCTACTCTGTGCCCCTCCCCTCCAGAGCGCCGCACTTTTATTCAGACACCCTTTTGAAGAAGTTAATTGCTGTTGTTTGTACCCACCATCGACAGCTTTCCCGTCACCGCAATAACAACTGTATTTGTTTCGAACTTTTTAAAAACACACAGTTACAAAGTGAGTCACTGTTGGGATAAAACACATTAAAAATGAGTGTAAATATTTGCACATGCAAACAGAGTCAAGCACATGGTCTTTCATTCATTTCTGCATGAACACTCCTATACAAACATATTAGGAGAAGAAAAGGCCACAGATAAGGTAAAGCATCTGTATCACTATCTCACTGTACAAATGTGTGTGTATGTGTGTGTGTGTGTGTATACCTGAGGCACTAGGATCAAAAACAGAAGTATGATCATAATCTTATAATTGTCCAGCAGCCAGTAAATGAATGCACCGGTGCAGCCTCTGGTATAGATGTCAGGCAGTGGTTGATGCTGTGGGACACAGAACACTGGTGGTTAGTCCAATTTCAAAACTACAAAAAGTCAAAGGCAGCTCCCTTTCCTTTCTTCCAACTGTTTAACTTTCTGTTCCTTGCTTATAATAAGCCCAGTCCATTACTTAATTATCTGACACTTGTCCTCAGTTGTGAGAGCGACACAGCACACCCAGAGTTATTGCTAAGAAACATTCAGCTGTCAATGAGATAAAAAGAACAGCAACTGCCAGTTTTCTGTCTGCAATTCCCAGTTTAAATGAACCTTCTGTGGATATAAAGCACACAATAGTCACAATGGATATTTCAGCACATAATAAAGTGGGAAGAGCTCATCTTTGTTTTATGACTTGGTGGTCTTACCTTGTCATCTAGGGCCTTGTACCCACACATAGTGTTGGGCACTTCATTATTCTGAAAGAGAAGTAAAATGTTTCAAATAAAAATTAACAGAAAGCTGTACAGTGTGGGGACAGCCAGGAGAATAAAAGCTTTTATCTAATCTAACGGTTTTATCTTCAGAACAGAGTCATCTGCAGTCTGCATCTTGTTGTATTAAAACTAAAATTAAGTGGAAGTAAAAAATAAACCTCTAAATTATTATATCCATGTTTGTTCGCAAAGATAAGTCTGCATTAAGGGCATATATGCTCTGCTCTACAGCATCCGTTGCCACTTATGTGAGTCATCTCTGGCAGGTAGGGATCCGTTTTGCCATTTTCTCTCTGCCAAACAGTTTGTCAAGACCATTTTTATTCCACATCAGTCAAAGAAAGAAAGAACGAACTAACGAACGAAAGATAGATCTAAACATCTAACAAAAAGTTTGACCCAACACAGAAACCTTTAAATAAAATTAAATTTTAGAGAATGTCGGATGAGATCAGTTTCATTAGTTCAGACAGTTCGTCAAACTGTTGTGTGTTTAGCTCGAGACTTTCTCTTTGTTCTCTTTGTCCTTATAATTACTGGACAGTGTAGGTGTACAGATTACAGGGAGCCTTTGCTACTTAGAGGTGGAGAAAATTGCCTGCACATGCCATGGCTAAGGCTTAATCACAATATAGGGTGAAGAGGTGCATTTTAAATGTCACTCTGCATGCAAGAGCTATTACTTTAAGACCCAGACACACAGACACTGGCAGCCACTGAGCACTAGAGAAAAATGTGCATTCCTTAATGCCAACCACTTTGCAGATGAAAATCAGAATTTCAGTTGTTTAGCAGTTGCTTGGGGCTGAGGGTTGAGGAAGGTGTCGCCGACAGATCTTTAGGCCTGTGTGTCTGAGAGCTTTAATGACACACACACACACACACACACACACACACACACACACACACACACACACACACACACACACACACACACACACACACACACAAATCCAAAACTAAAAAAACAAATTCAGGAACAAACATGATAAAATTACAGATTAGTTGGTATCTAACTCTGATCTTCAGCTCCCACTGTGATTGTGAGACTGCATGCCCTCAGTGAGAAGGTGCCTTCCTGAGCAAATAAAATGCCAGCATCTCACAGTGTGTAATTTGTCTCTCAGAAGTGAAGCTGCGTGGGATTTTGGGAGTTCTCCTCAGCACAACTGCAGATCAAAAACCCTCTCATGAGACAGATGAGGATGTATCAAGATAAATTCACGCCACACTTTAGCCATTAAGCCATTTATTCACGTATTTTCACGTGAATATCACCCAACAGCAAACCTGGAATCTTTAGCTTTAACTAATCAGACTTTGTTCATTCCCACTGCAGCCACAAAACATCTACACAATTGTTTTTAAAAACCTCTTAGCATGAAGTGTTCATCAACTCCAGTGAAGAGACAGGTGTGTTAAATATGTGCAATCCTCTTTTACAGGGGACTTAATGTATTCTAGCTTCATATGTTTTTATAACTGGACCCCATTAAAAATAGGTCAGCATGAGATACACTTTAAGATGATAAATGCCAGTGTCATTTTGGTCTTTTAGCATTTGGTTTACAAGTTTGAATGTATTTTAGGATTTTCTCAAATCCACACATATATTAAACTGGTCAACATTTCAAACCACAAATCAGTCTTGATGAGTGTTTGGGGTTATTGTCCTGCTGGAACACCCATCTGTGTCTTGGTTTTAAGTGTCTAGCTGTTGATTTGAGATGAAGCTGAAGAATTTGGAGGTACTCATCGATCATTATTCCATCTACTCTGTGTGATGTAATGTACCACAGGCAGCAAAGCAGCCCCAGAGCATGACACCATCGTGCTTGACAGTTGAAAGTTTGAAAACCTCAAGCTGTCACTATAGTCAAAAAGCTCAGTCTTTGACCATAAAACCTTTCTCCAAAAGGCATATGGCTTCCAGTTCACAGCAGATTTGAGCCTCGGTTTATTCTGAACATCCTACAACCAATTTCTTCTTATGTGATGATGACAGTTTTGGCATTCTTCCAGTAAATTGTGCTTACATAGACCCGTCTGAACTGATGATCTGCAGTTGTTTAGAAATGGCTCCAAGCGACTTTTCCAACTTGTTCAAATCTACTAGTCTCCAATTTAGATTTTTGCTGAATTCCTTGGATTTCCCTTGTTCTGAATATTGGTCAATCTGATGAGTGCTGTCAAACAAATCTTTTTAATGCTGATAAAAGAAAAACTACTGGTTGTAGTCAGTGCAATATAAGTTCAAATTCAAACTTGTGCACCCAATTCTTGTTCTCCCCCCCAAACGGTCATTAAAAACAAAAGCTGTTCAAAGAAACCATTAAATGCCCTAAATTTCCATGACATTCATGCCCATGATGGATGTAAAAGTCTACCCACAAGTAGTTTCTAAAAAAAAACATAATTTAAATGTTATATACCATGTAAAATATGTACTTGTAATTATAATAATAATAAAAATGTTTTAAATGTAGTAGCTGAACATAAATTGTGCTATAGCAGTATTATCAGAAGAGGCAGAAGCAGTTAGCATCATGCATAGAAACTGGTAATACAAGAGGTATTATTGCAACAAGAAAAGCATATATTGTACCAGCCGATGTAGTGGTAAGACCATCAATAATGACACCTACCTTAGTAGTAACACAGCAGGTATATGGGACACCGCAGGCTAACGGACCAGGCGCACTACAGTTGTGGTACATGTTGACTTTCCAGTCTTTAAATTCTTCACCTCCACAACACTTAAACTGACAAAGAGGACAAAGATGACAATATTAAAGGTAAGAAGGAAAAGGAAAGTGGTTTTAAAACACAGGAGAGACAGAGAGAGTCAATAAGTAACTAACTATGTGAACATGATTCATTCTGTTGTGCTGGTATGATGCCAAAAGTAGCATTTTAGGATGAAATTAATCACAATTAACAACATTTGGCATCCGGTTAGTATTTGATTCTCTCTCACACTTTTCCTTTCAGCCAGAATTTCAAAGGAGCAGATCGAAGGGCTTTCCCCTGAAGAAGTGACGTTTCCCTGTACAAAATATTTTACTGAGCTGTTTACAAGACAAATGAGGTAAACTATACCATCAATATTCACATTCAGATGCAGCTGTGTTTACTATCCAAATACAATTTTCCACTGGTGGCAAATTTATTTGACTGTGCAAACACAGCTTCCCCCTTTCATTCCTTCTACCACATTCTTGAAAAGGTCGGTAGGTGTTGTGATATTTGCACATATCCAAAAACCTGCTTATATCTACTTCCTTCATTACTTTTAAGAGCAGGTGCATTTTTCCTTCCCACTAGAAATGTAAGCTCTTCCTCTGGGATGCATCTTTGTCCCTGTCTTGTAAAGTGCTGGCCTGTTTGTGTACAAAATACTCAGAGCCGACTCCGGCACAAGTCCATCCATCTGTCTATCCATCCATTTCCTTAATAACTAATCCAATTCGGAGTCACGGGGTTTTTGGGCCCATTTCAGATGTCATTCAGTGAGAGGCAGGATACCACCCGGACAGGTGGCTCGTACATCACAGGCCATGTATCAGAATTTATGTTAATATTCAGATCTGAGGAAAACCTGAAAATACAAAATACTTCACCAGGAGGAGATAAAAGGACTAATTTGGAATACTCAAAGAGAATTTGTTGCTTCACTGACCTGCATCAAATTTGGAAATTATCATCTTCACAAGAACAGTGAATCATTATGTGTCATCACCTGCAGCCACGTGTTGTGGGATCAACAAGTGGCTGCAGAGGCTGCACCAGTCATTTTTACTGCCCTCTTCTTTTGCAAACTCTCAAGAGACTAAAGAAACCTAAACAAATCAACAGCAAACAAACTTGGGAAAACACATTAGCATTAGTAAGACAACAACGTATTTAATAAAGTTTTAAGTCTTCCTCAATATACAAACAACACAAAATCCAGTATAATACACAAAAGCTCTGTTCATTTGTTTCCAAACTCTTCCTAAATGATCAGCAGTTGTGCAACCAGAGTTGGCACACAGGTACATCTTGGGACCCTGAAGGTTTTCACATCATTACATTGCCTAGCAACCACCTACCAGCAAGCTTAAATGACCCATTCATACTGTTTATGCACATAACATCTAAATTATATCCAGATATACTTAAATAATGTGTGACATTTTATGATGGCTTAACATTGCCTAGCAACCAACTAGAAATGGACTAAAATGACCCATTTGTAGCATTTATCTAGCTCCAAGACCTATGAAAAGCCTAATATTGTTTTATTTCATAAAAATAACATTAATTTACATCCATGTAAACCTGAATTGCGCACAATTTATTATGATGTCATGTTTCCCAGCAACCACCAACCAACAAGCCAAAATGAGAATTTGTAGTGTTTATGCATCTACAACATAAGAAAAGGTGGTTCAGGGGGCATTTCCTAAGCGTTCTGTGTTTATTACTTAGGCAATCAGTTTATTCGTTTCATTTAGCTCTTCTTACATTTGCTGAAGGCACAAATGTGCACTTTCTTTGCTCAGTTTTCATCGTACAGGGTGGAAAAGTTGCCACACCGATGCTTTGGTGTGCTGAACGGTATTTCCCATTTTCATCCAAAGTGACAATAACAGTGACAGTTTTTAAGGTAGTGCTGAAGAACAAACTCACTGTTAAAATAGGACATAAGCCTCAAATTGGCACTTCTCATTATACAAGAAATGCAAATGAACTTGTCATAGCAGTATCGCCTCAGTTAACAATTAGCATTAATGGGATACAGCTGTTAATGGAGTTACGCCTGTATTTGACTAGCATAAGAAAGAAAAACAAAATTAGACCCAATATAAATGACATCTGGTACCAAAGGATTTTCAATATCTGAATATAAAAATGGGAAATATGTCTCAATTGATGGCACTCGGAGTAAATTACAGCTGCCGTTTGATATCTCAGTTATTTTTGTTTGATTTGCGCTTTCACTTGGGGTAGATAGCAACTGCACAGCTGCCTCAGAGAGTAAAGAATGAGCGAAGCAGAGCCCAATGCTGGTACCTCTGCTTGGTAGTCACTTATTGAATCTAATATTTTATTTGGAGGGAGAACATGAGGCAGAAAGAGAGAATGAGACAAGAGATAAAGAGGGACGATGAATAAATGAATAGATATGAGAGCGCTCTTTGTCAGGCAGTGTCATCAGTATGCTGATATGATGCCAGTTTGCCAAAGCAATAGTCTGTTGGTGTGATTCTGCACAGCTGTTTTTCCAGCACTGGGTCAAGACCCAAAGAAAGGTCACACACAAAAAAACCCAAAAAAAAAAAAAAAAAGCCACAACAACAAACAAAAACTTAATATAAGAACACAGAGTTCTCAGTGTGGTAGGTGCAACAGTGCAGTATCACCCAATCTAATCCCGTCTATGAGCAGACTGTTCAATTCATTACGCAGCCTCATGAGATAAAAATGAAGCATCTTTTCAAAACACGTCCATCTCCTGAGATTCTGATGTGACGTGTGAGAGTGATGGATGGATTACACAACAGTTTGTTTACTAAAGTTGAAATTGAAATACAAAGTCATTTAAAAGTGATGTGACACGTTTATTTTTATGACCCTCACTGGTGACAGTCATGACCGAAGCCATTATGTTCTAGGGTTGTCCATCTGTCCGTAGCTCTTAAACTGGCAACCTCGACAATCACAGAGCCTTCATGGAGTAATTGTTAAATCAGTTCCCTTCACTTCTCTCTCTTTTCACCCGCAGTGTGTGGCTGAAGGAATTCTGTGTGTTTACATCCTCATGAATGTGACATGTCAGGAATTTGTATAAACATTAATTGGTCAAAAAGTCACCCTCACAAAATATTTAGCTGAGCTGGTTTGCAGAGGTATACAACAATAAGCTGGTAGCTCGAGTTTATTTTATTTTTTTTTTTATTGTGACTAAATTTCCAAAAGTCCCCTGGAATTAAATATTTGCAGAATAAGCGACTAATTTTGTGACTGTCCAGCTGACTGATGACGAGCTACTTGCATGCAGACTGTGACTAATCGTATGGTTAAGTCCCCCTCTGAGCCAACCGCTCAAAGCGTGGGTTGCAATTACAGCAACATAATGAGCGTGTGATTACAGGTTAAAGACTGAGGTGTTTTTTTTCCAAAAAGTTTGCTAAACTTTTCAGGATCACTTACTATTGTTACTGTATTAATAATAACCATAATTATGACTTTATTTATATAACATTGTTCAAGCTCCACATTACAACGTGCTTCACAGGAGCAACAGAATAAAACAGAAGTAACAAATAGAGGGGAAAAAAGACACTTTAAAGTAAATTTAAGGGGAGGGA